TATATATATTTGCAGAAGACAATGAATGACAAACTGTGGGTACTTTATTTTGGTTGTGTGTGTGTGGCTTTATGACTTCACATTCAAGATGCTCATTATGAGCCACATTTGTCATTTGTGGCATTTTTCAAGCCGCCTCACACACAACAGTTAAATAGTGCAGAAGAGATCAATGCTTAGATTGATAATGGCCATGAACACAGCTGGCCTTGGCGCAAAGGCAAAAGCCTGTGAGAGATGGCAGAGAATGACCCAGATTCAGCCCTGAAATTAAGCCATTTATTATTTTACGTCTCCTGCAACCAATGCTCACCTGAGCGCAGTGGAGGGTCAGGGACCCACCCAAATGATAAATACGGTCACAGATGGAAAATCACCAGCGTTCCCCGCATATTTGTTCTGTCCCTTTTCTCCTTTTGCAGAGATCAAAGAAAAATTAACTTCATTTTCTTGGATGCTTTGCATAAAGAGAATGAGGAGGCCAGAAAAATCATGCAAATTGCAGTAATCCAACAATTCAGTCTATTTGAAACTGCATTCAAAGCAGGCTAGACAAACGAACAAACAGTCTAACTGAACATAGTACTTCCTCTATTTATGTCTCTCACTTCCCTTTGCAAAGAGAAGTCATACCTTCGCACCATCCACCTAATCAGATAATTTGACACCCTATTTATTAACGGCAGACTCCCGTCATTAGTTTCTCCAGTGGGTCTGGTCGTGTACATCCGTTTTCATTTGCAGGTGTGAGATTGATCGCTGGCTCGCTGCAGAATGAATGAACTCAAGTAAGTTGCAGTTGGACTGTCTCCACCAGCATCGAATGATAATTGAGTGGAGATTTATTGATGCGCAGGATTGTTCTCTTTGCTGTGAACGAATCATTATCAAGTCCAGAATGTCAGCGGATACAAGTGAGCTCGTCTTTATCACAAACAGACTGACTCTGTTTGAGCTTTTGATATGTTTGTGTGCATTTTCTGTGCTGCTAGTGTTTCAGAAGTAATTCTGTTCTAAACTCACCCATCTACCATTGTTCTGACAAACACATAGTCCTGCCCCAAACTCACACCATTGGTTGAGCACTTAGTTTTTGTCAGGCAACAGAGCAACGTTAAAATCATCAGTGTTTATACAGAAAATCAACCTACATATGGCGTTCTTAAAGGTGCTGTATGTATTTTTTGACTATACTGAAGAGTAAAAATACTATATGTTTGCAGATAAACTTTAGAGAGGAAACATGCTAAGTTCAAAAAACAATGGTACAGCCAGTTATTCAATGCGTGTTCTGTGTTGGGATGTCTGTTTTTGTTTTGGTCTGTGTGACTCCACCCACTGCCAGTTTACCCAATTGGATTTCGACACCCTAGGTTGCCAGTTGTTTGAAAACACAGCGTATTGCAGCCATGGAAGCCAGCAAATGAACTGGGACAGAAATAGCAAATTTTACTTAACCCAAAAAGCCTCGGCATCCATTTAAAAAGCTCTATGACCAGAGGAATATTAAAATGTAGCTAAATCAACACATCAACTTGCCGTGTAAGGCTCGTTGCCTTCCATTGTCAATTTCGCTCATTCCGGTTGCGAGTCCTCAATCTGGCAACCTGCATGAGTGATGAGTCTGAAGAGGTGGCGGCGGAAGAAGCAACTTGCTCCAATATTTTGAATTTGGACTGCAGTACCCATTTCAACCGGTAGCTGTCAATATTACATACTTCACCTTTAAAGGCATAGTTTACCCAAAAATGAAAATCCTTTCTTCTGTTGAACGTAAGATACAGTACTTTAAAGAATGTTGGTGATCAAACAGTATGGACAAAATATAGACAAAAAATGCATCCAAACCAAAACTGTTTGATTACCAACACTCGTGATAATATTTGCAGAAAAAGAAAGTCATAAATGTTTGGAACGACATGACGTTATATGGAATGACAACAGGATATTCATTTTTGGGTGAACTATCCCTTTAATTGGTATGTTTACATAAAAGAAATGACAACTTAAACTCGCACTAACACGCTGACTATTTGGACATCTTTTGGCTTTGTAGTAGCAGATCTTGCTTTTTAATGCGTATTCGCTTGTTAATGTGCTTTTAATTGGGTTAATGGAGTTCATACGGACTTGGGCAGTTCAAAGGGTGCAGTGCTTCACATCTTAAGCGTGTGATGAGACTAATGACCACAGTAGTGGAGTTGGCCATTATAATTTCACCCATTTAAAGAATGATTGAATATGCTAAAATCTAGGCCAGGAACATGGTTTTTAGGCTGGTCACATAATAGCTCAGTTTGCTCCTTTCGGTCAATGAAGGTGCCTCATTTTAGTTGAGCAATTTACACTGTTTGTCCACTTCGTTTTTCGCTTCTTTATCTTTTCCTGGTTCCTGCTAATGCATCGAAACTCTGCAGAAGAAATGGACGACTTGACTCTATAGGCTTTCCGCAAACAGCAATTAGTTTTACACCACACGATCTTTCAAAAAGAAAAAAACCCTTGCTGATACGGTGCGGTTATTTGTTCAACTTTGCTCGTTCAAATCAGCGCTAATTTACCACTGATTAAGATTAGTTTTCTCCTTTAGATCTGTGCCAGCTCATTTGCATCTGCAGCATGTAGATTAAAGCAGCCATTTAAAATATTTTCCTCCAGTATTGTATTGTGGCCGCTGCGAGAAGCGAGGGATGTCGATTTGGCGTCCTGCTCCAGGTGCAGGCTCTTCTGCTTTGGCACAGCTGTGTGTCCCTCTCTCCCCGGTGCCTTGGCAGCACGGATAGCAGTCCTCCTGACAGCTGCCACTTCCCAAGGGCTGATGGACTATTAATACTTTGGCTAATTTGATCAATCCATTCAGATTTGCCTTGTCCTGCTCCGTTGTGGCAGAGCTTTGATTAAGATGCACATGGCCACCGGCGCCATTTTCTGCGCATATTGTGCCCCAGGGAGCGATTCGGCGCGTGCATTGACTACCGTGTCTGGGATTTCAGCGTGCTTACGAGCTTTAATGCTTTTATGGGTAAATGATCAGCTATGGCTGCTTAGATACGCAATGAAAGGGTCTCAAGTAAAAGACTTTTAGGGTCTTTCGATGTCGCAATGACATGATATCGATAAATGCTTTATTACAACAGCCTGAAGTTTTTCTAGAGATCACTGCTTGACTGTTTACCATTTATCTCTTTCCTGCTCAAGTCGTAGTGCACACTTTGGCCTGAGGATGGCGGTACTGTACAAGCTTTGACTTCCAAATCAGTAGGACCGTGCCACTTGTCATGAGCGCAGTGTGCTCATGCATGAAGAAAAGACAAAGCTTAGCAGTAAATACTAAGCATTCTTCATTTGTGTCAGAGTGAATATTTCTCTTGGTTTGTGAGAGAAGGCATTTTAGTGAACACTGGTAATGGTAGTCTAGATTAACTTTTTGACACTTTTTTTTTATTTTGTAAAGTACGTCGTGCTTCTTAAGTCTGCACTACAGTATGTGCTTTTTAAAATGCATTTGAGCTACTCTGATCTCTAATTTGCTGTGACGACTGGCATGTATTTCTAGATCTCAAGCCACAGTGTTTGTAACGTTCAGCTTCACTTAACTGATCTGTTGTGATTTGCTCCTGGTTATGCATCATTGCGGCTTTCTCATCTCACATTAGCTCTACTACATTGCCATCTGGAATAATAAAGCGTGCGTGTGAGTGTACACGTGCCCTTGTGACTGCCGCTGATGGCACAGCCATAGGGATCTTACCCAAGCACCACGCACGCCATGCACTCCAGCGTTCGTTTTCTCACTCGGTTGACACGACTGGCACATCAAATGTACCGCAACTAAACCACCCAAGCCTCGGTGGTGCTGGTGTTTCCAGAATGGGGGAATTGATCCAGCAGTTAATGATGTTTGTAAAAGTGGCTAACATGGAACTTATCGGGTAGCTGATCCAAAATCAGTTGATGTGAGGTGAAGTTGGACAAAGAGAGGGATTTACACAACCCACTGATTTGGAGCTTATGAAAGCAAATTACAATAATTGTTATTGTTTATTAACATACCCAATGCTTCCTGTTTTTAAAAGGAAAGGTTGCACAAAATAACATCTGTCATCAGTATATCGATCCCAGCCTCTATGACTGACTTTTATAGTTTACAAATTATGCACAATGTTAAATGTTTTTAGCTCATAACATAGTAATTTGCAAGGAACTGTGCAAAAATAAGTCTGATAATCTGCCTTGTAATCATATTTAATGTGAAAATGAATACGAAGTTGGTGTTTTACTGCCACTAGTGTTTATTCCAGCTGAAACCTGCAGAGAATTGTATGTATTGGTATGTTTTTGGACACACATTTTTTCCAACGAGCCTAGTTTGTTTAAAAAGTTGTCATTGGCATTTATTCCTTGTATTATGTTGCAGTTCCTAATATGTTAATTCTATTGAATTTATTTGCTAAAAATGTCTTTTTGTACTCTGCAGGCGTTCATTTTGCACCTGATTCTCGGTCTGTGGTCTCTAACATCAGTCTTTTTACCTTCTAGGAAATCGACGAAGCCTGCAAACGGATCAAACGTGAGATTGACGATCTCGGCCCTGATGTTGGCGACATCAAAATCATCCCGCTCTACTCCACGCTGCCACCACAGCAACAGCAGAGGATCTTCGAGCCGCCTCCTCCCCGCAAACCCAGCGGAGCCATCGGCAGAAAGGTAAAGATCAACATCGTACATGTGTCTCAATACATCATGATCATCACAAGATCTTAAGAGAGGGTTAAACTGCGACAAACCCAGAATTCCTAGAAGGGTATTGCTTTTAGTCCGTCTATAACGTGGTTTGGTTCAAGAGATACTTCAAATTCTTTTATAGAATATTCCACAGACAAAAGTTCCAAACCCATAAGGGGCCGTTCACACTGAATGTGTTTTTCCATTCCAATGCACCACTTTTCCATTGCTGTTCTATCTAAACACGTGCTAGACTGATGTATGACCCTTGTGCTTGCATTTTTTGCAGCTTCTCGCACATTGCACCACGTTTTTAAGACGCCGTGTCAAGGCGAAGTGCCGCTCATCAATGTCAGTTCAAGAACTTTGAGCCAATCAAAAGATCCCGGACGCGGAGCAAGCGTTTCGAGCTTTTGTTTACAGTAGCACCTTGGCATGGCAACTTTTTTATTTGACAGCAACATGATGAAAAAAACATTCCTGAGCGCTGCATCTCGTGTTTTTAGACACAAAGAAGCGTTCTGTGTGAACGGCCTTTAAGACTGTCATTCATCTTTCAAACTCAAATTTTAGGATTCAGTTTTTGTCCATGCATTGAAAGTCCACTCAAGTAAAACTTCTTATCCATTAAAAGTACATGTAGCGATTGTAAAAGTAGTGAACATTTATGTATGTATGTATGTATGTATGTATGTGTGTGTGTGTGTGTGTGTGTGTGTGTGTGTGTGTGTATATATATATATATAAAATATCTAATGCGATTTTCATGCAAATCTCGTCAGTAAAGCCACTTCTGTGATTAGTAGTAAATCTCCAGCATGTGCTTTCAGATGGAACGGCATTTACTACACAGAGCTGTAGATCACTGACAAGCTACACAAAATCGCATTCGATTTTTTGCACCGCCTATATATATATATATATATATATATATATA